ATAATGACGGATATTGCATATCCATTGCAATTGTTATTCCTATTTTGTCTGTTTGTTTCTGTTTGTTTTTTCTGCTGTTTAGTTATTTTTATAATATGTTTAGTATTTAAGTTACACGCTTTGTCTATAAAATTTTTGTAAATTTTTTTACGACAATAAAGCATATCTCTCTCTTTCTCTCTCTCTCTCAATGCCTGGGTCCGTCCAGAAAAGAAGCAGGTGCGACATATATCGAGGGCCACAAGCCAGGACCTCCTAAGCCGCAAAAACGACATTTTTCAGTTAAAAAAAAATGTTTTACATATAGAACAATCCATTTTACTCTATATTTGAACTATAAGACCCATTTTTTTTTTGTTCAAAAATTGTAATACTTCCCCTATACAGTAGATAGAGCGAAATCTCGCAATTTCAGGCATCATCTAACTTAAGAACATCCCTATAAATGGTTATTTTTTAAATTTTTATATATATCCCGATCTTAAATGACCCTGTTCCTATTTTTACATACTGGGGTGCACAAGATTTTTTAACTGAATTGTTTGTACTTTTATTTTTTTAACGAAATGATTTAATGTTTTTGTATACTATATAATATATAAATTCTATACATACAGAAACAGAACACAAAGAGTTTCCATCTGATTTGGGAGTGGAACGTCCTCCTTAATGGAAAAACTACCTCCAGCGGACATTTCATGCTGGTTTTTCTCATTTCTATTGTGAAACGGCGATGGGAAGGAAAAACCGTACAAGGAAGAACGTATAACAGATTTGTCACGAAATTCTTACCAAAAATTCTTAAATATATTGATCTTTCTGATTTCAGGGAATTTAGTATAGAATTGAAATGTATTGACATATTTTTTATACAATTGACATCCTATAAAATTTCAATAAACTTTACATTTTCCGTTTTCTATTCGTTCATAAACGAAAAATTTGAATGAAAATAAATAAAGAGACCGACTTGCAAGATCAAGTAGGGTGTTTTTTTTATTCTTTTTAAAACTTTATTTTTGTGTTAGTAGCTAGTAAAATTTTTAAATTTCATACGATTTTTCTTGATGATCCGGTATTAATAATACTATTTAATTGTGAAAAAAGAAAAATTCTTACTCATTCAAAATTATACCTGTTTCAAATTTATTCAACGCGTATTTGAACTACTAAATTACGCAAAGGAAAGAGCTTTTACAAATATATAGAGAGAGAGATATGCTTTATTGTCGTAAAAAAAATTTACAAAAATTTTATAGACAAAGCGTGTAACTTAAATACTAAACATATTATAAAAATAACTAAACAGCAGAAAAAACAAACAGAAACAAACAGACAAAATAGGAATAACAATTGCAATGGATATGCAATATCCGTCATTATAATTATTCTAATTTAATTTTTAAATTTAAACTTTAATATTTAATTATTTAATTAATGCCATTGTATGCGGAATTCAAATGTCTAAGGTACGTTATAAAATTCTGCTACTGTGTAATATGGTCTTTCTAGAAGAAAAGCTTTAGCCAGTCTTCGGAACTTATCGTATGTATTTATAGATTTTAATTGCATCGGAAGGTTATTATACAATTTTTTGGCATTGTAGGTAATGGAATGTTTTAATAGGTCAGAAGTGGGCATTGTTAAATAAACATCAGTCTCTAAATTTCTTGTAGGATATCTACGAGTCGGTCTTTCGGATAAATTTTGAATGTGCTTGCGAACTAAGCAGACGGATTCGAAAATAAATAGAGCAGGAAGGGTTAGAATTTTGAAATTTTTGAAGTAATTTTCGCAATGTGTCCTACTACTTAAACCAAATACATAGCGGATTGCTCTTTTTTACAGTTTAAAAATAGATTCGAAAAGGTATAAGCTACAAGAACCCCAGAAAGGTAAACCATAGCGAAGGTGAGATTCGAATAAGGAAAAGTAGGTTATTAATGCAGTAGAAGGAGTCAGCTCTTTAGAAACCGATTTAATGGCAAAACATGCGGAGGATAATTTTTTTGCTAAGGTATCTATATGAGCAGACCATTTTAGAGAATCGTCTATATAAAGACCTAAAAACTTGATTGAAGTCACCGTTTGGATCAGATTATTGTTTAAAGTTATAGGTTGTAAAGTACCTCTGTAAGACAATGCTACAGTTTTACTGGTGTTGAAACAAAGTCCATTCGAATCAGACCAGGACTTAATAGTCACTAGATCTTCACTTATGATAGATTGTAATGTCTGCATGTTAGAATTATTCCAGGTTACACTGGTGTCATCAGCAAATAAAGTAATTTTACCACTTATTCTTAAGTCTGTGATGTCGTTGATGAATAATGAAAACAAAATTGGACCTAATACTGATCCTTGAGGTACTCCACTGCTTATTGCTAGATTTGTAGAATCCTCACCATTCGCCCGCACCTGTTGATTTCTATTTTCTAGGTAAGTTTTAAACCATTGTAAAGGAGAACCCCGTATGCCATAAATTTGTAACTTATTAATTAAAATATCATGATTTACACAATCGAAGGCCTTTGCGAAGTCACAAAATACTGAAGCGGTGAAAAGTTTATCAATAAGTGATGTGTATATTTCATTAAGAACGGAAAACATTGCGTCGCTAGTGCATTTTTTAGGTAGAAAGCCATACTGATGAGCTGTGAGGATGTTATGCTTGAAAAGAAAGGGCAAAAGAGTTTTTCATTAGCCGTTCTACTATCTTCGATAAGGTAGGCAATAACGCGATAGGTCTATAGTTACAGGTTTTGGTTTTGTCGCCACCTTTATGAAGTGGGATTATTATAGCTGTTTTTAGACAGTTAGGAAAGAGACCAATTTCAAAGGATTCATTAATCAGTGAAGTTAAAATGTTGATTACTACATCCGGTATATTTAGAAATATTTTGGTGGACAGGCCATCAATTCCACAGGAAAATTTATTTTGGATGTTGTTTATGGTTTGTACTAGTTCATGCTTGTCTACTGGTCTTAGGAAGAAACTTTCAGTGATCCTTTTAGTAGGTAGGAGGAAGGAGAGAGCATCCTGACTCGGAGCTATGTTAGATTTGATATTTTTACTTACATTTACGAAATAATTGTTTAGTTCATCTGGGCTAGGATTTACACTGTTTGAAGAACGGGTTTTATTCCTTAAGTCATTTATTATAGACCAGGTTTCTTTGGAGGAGTTTTTAGCTCTTGCGATGCGATTTTTGTAATAGTTTTTCTTAGCAGATTTGGTGATTTTCCGATACAATATTCTGTAGTTGTTGAAATAGTTTAAAGTTGTTGAAATAACTCGATCTGTTTCAGAATTGTCTTCTATAATCTACTTTTTTTCTTCCAAATAATAAATTTATACGTTTTACGAAAGGTATAATAATGTGAGTTTTCGTTTTTCATGTTTTACTTATATATTCACTGATATAACAAAAATTGCCCAAATTAGAATATATGCATATCATATTCTTTTTTTATTCGCTTTCGTTTTCCTGGAAACAAATGTTTCTCGAAGGGTCCATCTATATTCATGCCCTATCGAATATTTCGAACCCCACGAATTCCATATTCAGTTTCTCAAAGGAAATTTATTTAGATTTGTGGTAGGTATTGGTCTTTTATTACGAAATGTTTGGCTTTCGATACCAATTCCACTAAAAAGGAATTTTGATTAATAACTCCCCAGACAGGATTCTTGTTTTATTTGTGAATTGAATGTTTAAAAAATTTGTTTGTTTTTGTGTAGACACTTATAGTAAAAAATATGCAACCCAATAAACTTTTTGTATAGGGATATAAAAGGCACAATAACGGTTACTTTTCAATTATAATAATGAGCATTTAACTTTTATGATTAAAAGGTTGGTATAAATAGGTTGCTATGGACGACAGTCCGGCCTAAGTCTCTTAGCCATCAAATCCAGTTAATATGCCTCCATTTCCCTTTAATGTCTAGAAATAAATATATTAGCAATTAAAGCCTATTGATAGGAAAAAAAGAAATAACATGTAAATAATGTCAGCTTACCTATATTTTACCAGTTAAATAAGAGTTTTTGAAACGGTCGACTAATTATGACATTTCAGGTCGTAGAATACTTTAGAATGTCATGAAAAGAAAGAAACGAACAAAATAGGCAAGGCTATGGATTCAAAGTGTATATACTGCGGCGAGGAGGACACATCCGAGCACACGATTTTCTGGTGTATCCGATGGAACTCAGAAAGAAACAACTCCATTGAAATAAATCATCCAAATCTAACGCCGCAAAATATCATTGAGAATATGACCAAAAGCGTAGAAAATTGGAATCAAATAACGACCTTCATAGGAAAGATAATGAGAAAGAAGTGCGAAGAGGAAAGAGACTATCAAGATATGGGCGGAACATGATGGAAACGGCCTGAAGGTACTGACGAAAAAAATCAAAAGATTAGTCCCGGTACTTTCGATCACAGGCCACTGACATGGGGGGGTTTTAGTGGGTATTTGAAGTCATGTGTCCCACACTATCCTGCTGTACATCTAGCAGGGTGTGCGTAAAGGCATTTCCCCTCAAAAAAAAAAAAGTCGTGGAATACCTTAGAATGTCATGAAAAAAAAGAAAGAAAATATAGGTAACTATGGCCGACAGTCGGGTCTAAGTCTCTTAGCCATCAAATCTAGTTAATATGCCTCCATTTACCTTTAATGTGTAGAAATAAATATATGGGCAATTAATGGCCTATTGATAGGAAAGAAAGAAATAACATGTAAATAATGTCAGCTTACGGATATTTTACCAGTTAAATAAGAGTTTTTGAAATATCATCAAATCTAGATACGTTTAGAAGTAGTTTGCCAATTATGAAAGGCTATAAATATCTTTTAATTCCTACATTAGATAAGAATGGTTTTTACGAATTTCTTTAAAGTATTCACAAAAGATTATACAAAATTATCATCCAACTACATATTAATTATCTTTTTAAAAGGAAGGAAAACCGCAGAATCGTAAAAATATCTAGAAACACTTCGTTTTGAACCAGTTCACACCCAGTTTTCTTCGATTTGACTTTTACTTTAGAACCATGAAAATATTGATAATTTTCGTTTACGCTCTAGCGATCCTTTGTGCATCGCAAGCAAAAATGTTCAAGCGATGTCAGTTTGTTCATCAGTTAGCACAACACGGCGTTCCTGATTGGCAAATACCGACTTTTACTTGCATCGCACACTGGGAGTCAGGATACGATTCAGGGAAACTTGATTACAAAACGGGAACGCACGGAATATTTCAAATCAACGAGCGTGTCTGGTAAGTTATATTTGATATATACTGTGCTCGTGCTTTCATCTTTTTAACTTTTGAATGAATCAAAGTTGGTATATATACAGTGTGTCTACTTAAGTTGGAACCATATGGAAAAAAAATTATTATTGATTTTAGGAAAAAAAGTTATTCTTGATAAAAAGTCCTGCATGACCCAAAACTTAAAATACAGTCATCAGTTATCAAATTTTTCAAGCTGTATACGAGGTTTGTCAAAAAATATGAATTTTGCTCAAGAGAAAAGTACGTTTATTTTCGACAAAATCGAAAATTTTCATTAAGAAAATTGCTAAATTCTTCACAAACTTTAAGAAAAGGAAAGCGTATCATGTTTATAGTAAGAGAAGAGAAAGAAAAAATTATGGATTACCGTAATTAGGTGGATCAATGCAAAATCTAGAAAAAATCTGATTTTTCGGATAGATCGATGTAATTGCATATTTGAATATAATTTTCAATTCTAATCAACTCCTATTTAACCTTCTGCCAGTGTAACATTGTTACCACTCCTTTTGCCTGATACTTCTCATTTTTCAAATCCCTAAGTATGTCTATGTATATAGAAAAAATAAATTAAGTAACTTTCTTACTCTTTATGAAATGAATTTGATTTAAATTTAAAAGAGGATATATACATAAAACTTTTCTTTAAGTTATGTTAATTTAGTTTATTTGCTAAAATATGTATATATGTATAAAACATATTAGGAAAAAAATTCTTTGGACAAAAAAACAAACAAATCAAACAATCATACATATTTATCATTTAAACAACAATAATATTCTTTGTCAAGTACTTAAAAAAGGAAATATTTATAAAATCATATCTAAATGCCTTTTTTTAATTTTGGCAAATATTTCTATGTTTAAATCTAGGTCCCTATGAATATGTAGCAATGCTAATGCCACTAACCTTTTTTGAAAGACTAACTTCTAAAGGAAAATTGGCAGAAACTTTTAGACGCCATTTTCTTTCTTTTCATGACATTCTAAGGTATTCCACGACCAGAAATGTCGACTAATTAGTCGACATTTTAATTTTTCCAAACGGTCGACTAATTATGACATTTCAGGTCATGCAATACCTTAGAATGTCATGAAAAAAAAAAAAAGAAAATGTCATCTAAAAGTTGGTGCTATTTTTCGTTTAGAAGTTAGACTTTCAATTTTTTCGAGGCGAGATCTTCTTTCCGAAAAAAAAATATTTTCCGAACGATCTACTAATTATGACATTTCAGGTCGTGGAATACTTTAGAATGTCATGAAAAAATGGAAAATGTCCTCTAAAAGTTTGTGCGATTTTTCTTTTAGAAGTTAGACTTTCAATTTTTTTAAGGCGAGATCTTCTTTCCGAAAAAAAATTATTTTCCAAACGATCTACTAATTATGACATTTCAGGTCGTGGAATACCTTACAATGTCATGAAAAAATGGAAAATGTCCTCTAAAAGTTTGTGCGATTTTTCTTTTAGAAGTTAGACTTTCAATTTTTTTAAGGCGAGATCTTCTTTCCGAAAAAAAAATTATTTTCAAAACGGTCGACTAATTATGACATTTTAGGTCGTGGAATACCTTAGACTATCATGAAAAAATGGAAAATGTCTTTTAAAAGTTTGTGCGATTTTTCCTTTAGAAGTTTGACACAACATTTCAGGTCGTGGAATACCTTAGAATGTCATAAAAGTTTGTGCAATTTTTTTTTTTAGAAGTTAGACTTTCAATTTTTCGCGCCTTTTCTTTGAGGACTTGCGCATGCTAATTTTTTTATTTTAACTCAAAATACCTTGAAAAATCTTCTTACTGAGTATTTGGGTCTGGAAAAGCCGAAACTGACCTCTACATTTTTCTAGAGCTTCTCAGTTTTCTCGTAGGGCCCCAAAATCGCTCGAAACCCCACTTTCGGCCCCATATCTCGTTCCACGTGAGCCCTATTCGTTTTTTATGGTCATGTTCGTCTTTTCCAAAAAAAAAAAAAAAAAAACATTATGAATACATTTATTTGAATTATTAAATACTAAGGTTTTCGGCGGGTCCTTTTTGCCCACAAATCTCTGTTTTCTACCTGTGTAAGTAAAGGGGTGCGTTAATCTTACTGGTATTTTGCCCACAGTAGCATTCAGGTACCTAAACCCGCAAATTACATCCGCCCACAAATAGGTACCTACCTGATTATTAATAATTCTAATAGGTACTTACTTTGGGTGTTTACTGTTTATATTTCAGTCAGTTTTTATACGTTGATGATTGTAATTCGAGTGTTTATAAACAATAATTATTTCTATAATGTCAGCTACATTGATTAAAAGCACACGCGGGAAAGATGTACTCCTTTTGGAGAATTTTACGTTTGCCAAAGATAGAGAAATGAAAAGTGGAGAAGTTTCTTGGAGATACTCCCAAAGAAAAACAAATGCTTGTAATGCCACTGTATTTACAATTGGTCCTGAACTTTTAGTATCCAGAGGCAACCTAATTCATAGCCATGAAGCAAATGAACCGAAATTAAACAGGAAAATTATTTCTAATTCGTGTAAGCGAAAAGCAGTTGATGATATTTCGGAAAAACCTTCTAAAATTATCCGTAAAGTACTTGCTACTAATTTACCAGAGTCACTAACTACAATTGATGTGTCCTACATAAGAAAAACTATATACAACAGTCGTCGCAAAATACTACCAGGTCCATTACCTACAAATATACAAGAAGTGCATGATGCAGTTGACTTATATTCTAATACATTTAAAACCAGTAAAGGTGAACATTTTCTTTTAATAAATAGCAGAGAAAATAATATTATTGTATTTACATGTGAGACAAATATTCGTACTTTGTGTAAAATTAACGTCTTGTATATGGATGGAACATTTTCGTATTGTACAAAGTTTTTCCTACAATTATTTACCATTCATGGGCTGTGTAATGGACACTATGTGCCCCTGGTATATTGTTTATTACCAAACAAATCTACCGATATATACAAACATTTGTTTTCGTTATTGCATTATAAAATTTTGGAAACTTACAGTATTGCTTTAAATCCATCTAAAGTGTTCGTTGATTTTGAAATAGCAATTCATAAGGCGTTAATTTATATGTGGCCTAATACTGTAATCAATGGCTGCCGATTTCATCTACATCAAGCGTGGTATCGTAAAATTCAGTCTCTGGGATTAATGGCTGAATATACAACTAACAGTGATACCGGAAAATGGCTTAAAACATCATTTGGGTTGACATATTTAAACGCCGATGAAGTTGGAGACTGTTTTGTGTTTGACTTAATGGCAAGTAAACCAGAAAATGCCGTTCTCGATAGGTATGCCGATTACCTATTAGAAACATATATTGAAGAAAATTCTACATTTCCTCCAAGTATATGGGCAGAAAAAACAGCTTCAATTACAAGAACTACAAATGCCTGTGAGTCGTTTCATTCAAGGTTTAATTCTTCATTCTACTGTACACATCCTTCTGTATATATTTTTATAGAAAAGCTTAAAGACTTTCAAATCGACACGTATGTCACAATACAAAGCTTAAGTATACCTAAGAAAATCAAAGACAAAAGTGTAGAACAAAAAATTCAGTGTTTAGAAAAATTTATACAGCGATTTGATCTGCAGCAAATCAGCAGATTAGAGTATATAAAATTTGTATCACATTTATCCCTCCCAGTTGAAAAATATGTAAATAAAATATAAATATATAAAAAATATAATATAACTTATGTATACTTACTTTTTTATAATAATAAAAATTAGTGTTTAATATAATTTTTAGTTTAATTAATAATGTGTTTTTACTTTTCGATAATATATAAAAAATAATAAATGAAAGATATATCTATTATGATTTATTCAGTTAGAAATAAATTTGGGCAAAATACCAACAGGATTAAGATGACCTTTTACTTGCTGTGGGCAAATTACCTATAGGATTAGCAGCTTTAAATATTTTGTGGGCAAATTACCTCCGCCCAAGGTTTTTAGGCAAGCGCATTTCATGAAATTTAAACAGATTAAAAATAGTTATTAATTTCAAATTAATAATTGGTTAGATAAAAATGTATGTGATAATCAAATTAATTTTTAATATTCAATAATTTGACAGTATGTTAAATAAGCACATTTTTTCTCCTAAATCTTCTAGTCACAGTATTTCTATAATACCTTTATAATAAATGGTTTTGCGGCATTAAAAAAACTTTGCATATTCAAAATGATTAATTATAGCCATTCCAAAATTTCCAGAGGTCTCAGCTCGAGTGTCCCTGACATTTTTAATAATGGGAATGATAGAATATAGTACTAAAAACAAGCGGCTTCTTAGCAAAAACGATTTCCTAGAACAAAGTTTGGAAATTTGTACGTGCTTATGACTTATCTTATTACTGTCCAGGATTAATAATTTATTAAGAAAAAGTAATAAATAAGTAGGTCATATGTCTCATCATCAATTTTTCTTTTTTAATAGAATTTTGAACGATTTAATTAGAAAAAATGGATATAATTTAATTCTACAAGGTGATCCAAGCTCTACAATTCTGAGATATTATTAAATCCGCACTTGTATCGATTAACAAATAAATTTAATAGGCGATTTTTGGAAAATAATATTGAGTAAACTTAGCTGATTAGAAAAGCCTCAAACATACAGTGTGGAACAGCCAAATGGAATAATTTGGGTAATAAATAAATGGCTGCGTGTTTGGAAAAACGCTCGGAAATTCTTCATTAAAAATTAAGCTAGTGTCATGTAATATAACTCAATCATCAGAAATGCTGTTGTGCAATGTTATTATTCAAACGAAATGTAGCCAGGGTCAGCGGAAATCCAATTGTTTTCTTCTATTTAAAGATATATCTAAGAATGTTGTCCATACCGTCATATTGCTATGTCTAAGTTTAATCTACAACTCCTTTTTACTTTCCTATCTGAATACAGATATAAGGAAAGTATAGGAATCATGATTTTTTTCGACCTCGAGTTTTCGACGGATTTTTACGTTTTGAGGTCCCCTGAATCCGTTTTGACTATTTTCGCGATGATGTCTGTGTGTGTGTGTGTGTGTGTGTGTGTGTGTCTGTGTGTCTGTATAACGCATAACTCATGAACCGATACACAGAAAAACACCAAATTTTAAACTTAAGCTTTGTTCTAGTGTCTAATGAGCTGATTAGATTTTGGGCAGAGTCGGAACATCTGGGGGGGTACTTTATAGGTGGTCATTTTTATATTTTATGGAATATATCTGTTATTTACGTTTGGAGAAGAAAATTCTTCAAATAAAAGTTACTTCTAGTATAATTATCTATAATTTTTGTTTGATGCAAAATTTTCCTAAAATGGTCCGTATTCGAGAAATTTGACAAAATGTAAAAAAAATAATTTTTTATAAAAATTGTTCAAATAAAAGTTGTTTGTAATATAATTTTTTATAATTTTTATTCCATACATAATTTCTCTAAAATGGACCGTATTCGAGATATTTGAGAAAATGTGTAAATTTCGAATTTTGAAGAAAACTCAAAAACGGATAAAGGAAAAAACATTAAATTTTAAACTTAAGTTTTATTTCAACCTGAGGTAAACTGATTAGGGTTTGGACAGAGTCGGAACATTCGGGGGGGGGGTACTTTATTGGTGGTCATTTTTATATTTTATGGAATATATTCGTTATTTACGTTTGGGGAAGAAAATTCTTCAAATAAAAGTTACTTACAATATTATTATCTATAATTTTTGTTTTATGTCAAATTTTCCTGAAATGGTCCGTATTCGAGAAATTTGACAAAATGTGCAAAATTCTGTTTTTTAAGAAAATTGTTAAACTAAAAGTTGTTTGCGATATCGATCTTTATAATTTTTGTTTTTAAATGACTTTTCTAAAATGGACCGTAATGGAAAAATTGGAGGAAAAGTGTTAAATTTAAATTTTTCAGTATTTTCGTTTTCAATGAATATCTATAGAAATATGTTTGGAGGTGGATGTATGTGGAAAATGTATATATTTAGTTTATCCTCTAAACATTTTTAGAGATGCTGCAATAGGTTAACTAGATAGGAAAGTCATGTGTTGGACACATCAGATTTTTTTGTATATAAAAAAAATTGAATGCTTATATTAAAGCTTTGAAGCATTTTGCAGTGGTTTTTTCTTCATTCGTGACACAAAGGGTTAAAATAAAAATGTATGTGTCTCAACGTTTTTCTCGGTTTTCACTTATTTTCAAGTTTTCCAGTTTAACATTTTTACGTGTAGATTTTTAAAATTTATTATTGAAGCGAAATTTGATTCGTAATTCATACAATATTAATTAAAATAAAAATCATAACTAATATCCCCTAAGCCATTTCAACAAAGTATCCTAACTCTAAACATTACAATGGCTGAATTTGTTTTAGGTGTTCTCCTTTCGAAACTCCAGGACGGGAATGCAGAACAACTTGTAGTCAGTTCCGGGATGAATACATCGCAGATGATATTGCGTGTGCTTTGAAGATTTACAAGGATACCCTGGAGTTATCTGAAATTGGATACGACGCGTGGGGATCTTACTGGGAACACTGCGCTACTGGAAACAATATGGAATATGTTAAGGGTTGTTACTGATTTATCTTGTTTATACTGGGAATTAACGATTATATATTTAAATAATTTTATAAAGTAATGTTAATGTATTTTTTGTAATAATTAAATAATTATATCTCATAGAAATAAAAGATTTTCTCTATATGAGATGATTTGCATAAAACTACCCATGAGAGTGTGTTATAAAAGGAAAAAAAACGTGTTTATATAATGGATGTGCGTCAATGAATCCATAATTTTTATTATCGATTCTCAAAATTTTTAGAATTTAAGAGGAGGTTCAAATTTCAAAGTTTGTATTGCTGAAACGAGTGTTTTTTTTATTCATAAACCAACATGGCAGATATACGAAAGATACTTGTTGCTGGGTTATGTTTAACAAAATTTAATACCTCTTCCTCCTGCTGTAAATCTCGAACCACTGACTCTTTTTCGGCGAAAACTTCGGTTTCTCTTAATCTGCTGAATAGACATGAAAACAATTTTCGGTTAGGCTGTCTACCATTAGAATAAAAAATTATGTGTAACTTCTGGCTGAATCGCGTCCTGTTGTGTATTGATATTTACAGTTAAGCAAGGCTGTGCGCTTTTAGTGCTTGGATAAGTATCTATCCTTGGGAAATTTGGCGTATCTATGAATCCCAAACAAACTGTATAAAGTATAGCGTCGGGTGTGCCATCTTTCGCCAGGGATGCAAAGCCGTCGGTCTCAAGTCCATAGATGTTAAACTCTGGTTAAAACACCAAAGAATGGGGCATGTTCAAAAATTTTGAAATTTTTTTTATGAATAATAGAGTTGAAAATAAAATTACATTTTTTTTATTTTTTTTTTATCTATTCATTTGCCGGAGTTATGAATTTTTTTAAAATTTATGACGTCACCGGGAATAGACCAATAGGAGCTAGCGCACAACGTTGCCGGCTAGAAGGTTTACGAGAAGTGATGTACGTTCGTTTGTGTAATCCTTCTTACTTTTAGACTTCTAAAACATCGTTAAACAAATATCTTTTAAATATATAATATCAAATGTTTTTTGAAAGTATTATTTATGTTTAAACTTTTACCATATTTAAAGTTTCATTGTTTTAAAAGTCACTTAATAATTCAGAAAATGGCAAAATGGCAGCACTGTGTATGGCATCTGTCATCATAGTGTCTCCATCAAGAATTTATTTGGAATTTGATTGTTTAATTTTGTACTTTTTATAAATATTATGACTACGAAAAAGTGTTTTGTTCCAGAATGTGATAATGATTCACATTCATCTTCAAAAATATTTATTAGTGTTCCTAGAAATTTGGAAATAAGAAAATCAACCTTCTACTAGCGATGTTTCTCGTGAACTTTTTAATAAAAATACACCGGATTATCAAGATGTAGCAGCAATTTCTGCTAATTGTCCCCTTCAGGAAATTGAAAATGAGGCTACTATAAATTCTTAGGTGTATTACCTAAAAACCCTTCTGGAAGAAAATGCAGAATCTCCTGAAAGTTTTGAAGATACCGAATTTATTCATCATTTTGTGGAAGAACTAGTGATAAAGAAATAATGGAAAAATGTGGGTATTTAAACAAACTGGTTCCTGGATCCCATATAATGGCAGATAGGGGTTTCAGAATAATCAGCTACTTGAAAACATGAGATGCACTTTAGTAAAGCCACACCTAGTGTATCACAGAATGAAAAAACTTCTCCAGAAGATGTACAATTAAGTAAAAGAATAGCATCTCTAAGAATACATGTGGAAAGAGTTATAAGAAGGGTTAGTTAATTTAACATGTTAAAACCACATTCGTGTGTGAATTTTAAGCAAGTACATTTACTTAGTAATATCTGCATAATTGCTTGTTAACTTACAAGAACCTATTTTGTAGAGAGTAAATATTAATTTAATAAACTTTTTTGTTTGTTTTTCAATTTAATTTACCTAATTATCACATTTCAGGGATTATAATGAGTTTTTAAACAGCCATTATAAAATTTTAACTTTTTGAGCAAATCAAAGAGGAATGAGTACCTGTATATGCATAGATTTTTTGAGACTAAAACTACCAAACCAAAGGCACCTATTTACAGCAGTTTAAAATGAAACATTTTAACAAAAACGCCTATGTCACAGTGATAAATATTAAAAACCAAGTTCAGTTGAATGTGGTAGCAAAGTCTATATATTCCAATAAATTGGAATACATGTGGTATCACTGGTGATAAATTTAAAAATATCACAATTCTTGCCACCTTTTTCAAAAAACCAGAAAGTGTGCCTTCTTATGAAAATGACAACAGTGATAAATGTGAAAAAAAAATTTCATGTTGCTATTCGTTATTACGATAGTAAAACATGTTTGCAGTTCCGTTTATTTTTTATGAAAATCTAAGTAAAAACAACCAATGTTAAAGGGTTTTAATTTTTTTTCTGTCAAACCAAATATATCACAAAATTAAAAATTGATCATAGGTCAAGCTAAAGTAATACCTTTATTAATAGTAGCTTTAAAAAAGGAGAAAGAATAATATTGACTTAAGTTATTATTATTAACATTGGTGATTTTTAATAAAAACTTCAATTATTGTTTACAAACAAAAATATAAAAATCTGTGAAAATTTTATTTATTAACCTTTTAATAAAAAATGAGAAAAATGAAGTAAAAAAACAATTTATTTACAAATAAAAAATATATACAAATCCTAAGAATATAAAAGTACTGATTTATTTTCCTGTAGTGGATGAAGAGGTCTCTTTAACAATCTAGCCAAGTGTACATCATTATTAATAACACTGAGTAGATGTTACAGATGGTTCCTCACTTCTTCTATGAAACCACATGTTTACAACCTCCTGAAAAAAATAAAAGGGTTAGATATGCAGTTACAAAATAACTATTAAACCAGCTACAAAATGCCTTATTTTATGTAACAAGACGAGCACTTTACTAGCTCTGAACGAATCCAGTAAAGAACCTCTGATTTTCAAAACTTAAAAAAAACAAGCTCACCACATTTTCACATTTTTGAAATATTATAGAGCTTTTCGAAAAAAACTGCTATTTTTAAAAGTACCATTTTTGTTTAAACTGCTATGTCTCATTTTAGGCTATTGAGTATTATAAAATAAAAAATTACGGGATGCTTTGTTAGCTTCAAACGAATCCAGCAGAGCACCCCAGTTTTTTTTTAAACCACACCACATTTTTTGGCTCCTACAATATTATAAAATATTCGAAATTTGGCATTTTTAAAAAAATTCGCAATTCCTTGCTGACTTCAAAGTTTTTTTTCTGAAAACAAATATACTTACCACATTTTTAGGATTTTAAAACAGCCTAAACATGTGTCATAAGTAGTTGTTTTTATATATTAAAAAACTGAAGTGTCCTGCTGACTTTGTTCCAACAAATCACCCTGTATTATTAGCAATTTTTTTAGTAAAGTTTTACAATATTTCAAGAGTCTAAAAATGGGGTGTGGTTTTTAGAAAAAAGCTTTAAAAAACCGAATTGCTCTGCTGGCTTCTTTCGAAGGTTAGCAAGCACCATGTATTTTTTAAAAATATAATATTTCAAGTGCATAAATATATGGTGTTGCTGTTTTTACAGAAAAAACTTTATAAAACAGAGGTGCTTTGCTGACTTCGTTCGAAGCTATCAGAGCATTTTAAGTTTTGCATAAAACGAGGAGCATAAAATTTTTGAAAAGGGTATAAAATTAGCCTAAAAATATGGCATGTTTTAACTCAAAATTTCATAGGTGCTCTGCAGCATTCTTTGGTATCATAATTATTACTAGGTTCACTAACAAAATCTATTTCTAGATTATTTTAACACTTGCTGCGATTACAAAAAATGTCTCTTTATGTCAAAATTAGAAAAAAAATATTTATAGGAATAAAGGGCCTTATACACTGTTTATTATATGTGATATAAAAACAAAAAAGCATAATAAATATTACAAACCTTGAGATTCAACATATCCTAAGCATTGTGCACTAAAAATTTCATTTTTGTTAAATACAACAGCCACATCATAAGGTTTTTGCTGTACTTTATGTTTAGGTGTAATTTGTCTCCTTCTCTGTTATGGAAAAAGTAAATATCTCCATATTCTTGCTTGGCAGATCTAAAAATAAAACCTGAGAAAAATATGTTTTACTATAAAGTGTATTTGCTTCATATAAACTGTAACTACCTACCATTAAAACAATTTATAAATAAAGTTTTACCTTTCTATCTTTTGTAAACTGAGTATTGTTAAAAAATACAGTAATCATCTCGGTAATCATATTTTCGTTTACAATGGGAAAAATACTTGATTCAACTTTTATAAATACAGCTGATAAATTCATATTCTTCTTCCTTTATATATCCTATATCCCACAGGATAATTTACCCAGATAAATTCAGATTAATAATAAAATTAAACCAAAACAAAAAACTAAGGTTAGTTGTTAGGTGCTGTCAATTTTTAATGTCACTTAGATGTGCGTTCACTTCGATATTTGTATGTAGGTTTGTTCGTTGGCTTGGTTTTGTATAACAAAAAAAACTTCGACACAAGCTGATTGGTCTATTCCCGATGACGAATAATTTCAAATTTTAAATTTCAATTGGGCTTAATTTAAAAACTTTTAGCTTTTTTAACGAACTGATTATTTAGAATAACTTGTATAGCGACTAACTATTACAATATAGTTTATAAAACAGCATATCTCACATGTGAACATGGCCCATTCGGCTAAATTTTTGGTATTTGGAATAGCGTACTCACCAACGTCTTTGTATAAATAGGATGACGTTAAATAAATTAATATTCAATACTTAAAAAAAATTAAAATTCATTCCACCATTAAATAAATTAGATGCCTCCTTAAGTTCTCCTTGAAACGCTAGTGGAGAATTACAACTCAAATAAAGATGAATGCGAATAATTATGGAATAAAATTCTCGTTTTTAGTCTTCGTTTTATTGTGGTCGAGAGCGGAAATTTTACTACTTAGGATGAGTTTAACCAAATTGATTTGAACGAATTTTATTGGAATGAATTTTTCAAGTGTCTCAATTTAGCTCTGTTTCGAAAGAAAGACGAATTAAATTTATTGGTTTAAGATAGAGTATTGAAAATCTTTATTG